CCCCCCCGACGTGATCCTCGCTTCACCAACACCGCCACTTGTGGAGGCCGCCGAGAGCGGGACTGCGGACTTGTTTCAGCCCGGCCGTTATTCTCCACCGACGTCGAATGTGTAGCGGCAATTTCAGCGGGAACGCGCGGATTCGCGAGTTGTTCTTCTCATCCTTTTTTGTTCTCCCTCTTTTTTTTTCTTTTTTTTGCGGAACGCTGGATGCATCTCTCGTTTCTTCTTCTACTCGCGTGACCGGCTCGCAGCGGAAACGCTTGCGTGCTGCCGAATTGCGGACGGTCGAATATGCATGTAATTACACGCGCGGCGTTTTCGCGCATTATTTCAAACATGCCGGCAGGCAGCGATTGTTGTTGCAGATCTCGCTCCAACATCCGCCGAAAGCCCCGACAAAGTTGCTCTTCGTTATTATTGTTATTATTATCCGTTCGTTCGCTCTCCCGTGCCTCTGACGTCCCGCGCGGCGTCGACTAATTGCGGCGACTAGGTGTCCTGAGAGCGGAGAGACATTTTCGCGCCATTAATCGCCGCGCTATTAATGGAGTGGCATTTTCACGGAACTTTCGACGGCTTTTCCAACTTTGTAACGACGCGTATAATGCATAATTTAAACAGCGAGATAACTTTATGCATTACCATTTATGTATATGCATCGAGCGATGCGAAATAGGAGGCGGTGGACTGAAGTCTCGGCAGATATTACAGAGTAATGTAAGTCATGAGTGGCGATATTTATAAGCGCCACCGTATCACATTGCCGTTCGAGATCGAACGTTCAGGGGGAGGGTTATTGCGTTAGCGAATAAAAACGCTCGTCCCCTTCACCTTCGCCTTTGGGCGGACGAGCGAGCGGGAAAGAGAGAGTGAGAGAGAGACGCGACTTTACGCCGGCGCGAATTCACACGGGTGAAAAAAGCGCCGATCGACGTAAAAGCCAGTCGCAAAGAACGGAAAGATGAACGCGCAATGGAATTTCATAGAGAAAGTCGGCAGAATCGTCGGGGATATTAAAAATCGAGGGGGGAGGGGGCGGGAATCGCGGGAATGGAAAATTATTAACGACCGGAGCGTGGCGCGTTTCGGAAATTTCACGCGCGCCCGCGTTTCCTCGCACGTGCGCGCATATACACACACACGCAGGCACATACATTCGAGATTACAAAGACAGCAGGGGAAACCCCGGAAATCTAATATACGTGCCGCGAATTAATTTACGACACATATGGAGTCGGACGTTATCGCGACAGATAATATCGGATTTTCTCACAATTCGATATCGCCGGTTTGTAGTCAACGTAGTTTCTGTGGTATGTAGTCTCTCCCTTCCTTCGTCGTTAAGCAGGGAGAAAGAGAGAGAAAGGGAGGAGAGGAGAACATCCACAATCGAAAGTTTGCGGAAGAAAAGTAGATCGGAGAAAGAGAGAGGGTGCACCCTATATAAGATATAACGAAGTCCCGGGCACGCCGTTCGTCCGGACGTGACAGTCCATTCGTGGCTATCGACGTTCCAGCTGAATCAAGACACTCGCACCGGGCCCTTGAGAAAGACGGATATATATATATATATATATATATATATATATATATATATATATATATATATATATATATATATATATATATATATATATATATATATATATATATATATATATATATATATATATATATATATATATATATATATATATATATATATATATATATATATATATATATATATATATATATATATATATATATATATATATATATATATATATATATATATATATATATATATATATATATATATATATATATATATATATATATATATATATATATATATATATATATATATATATATATATATATATATATATATATATATATATATATATATATATATATATATATATATATATATATATATATATATATATATATATATATATATATATATATATATATATATATATATATATATATATATATATATATATATATATATATATATATATATATATATATATATATATATATATATATATATATATATATATATATATATATATATATATATATATATATATATATATATATATATATATATATATATATATATATCCGTCTTTATATATATATATATATATAATGTACATACACACAGGCAGAGATGATTCGGATCTTAATTAATGAATTCTCGCGCACTCCGGCGGAGCGATCGATCGTGATCGATGATTGGTGGGAATTAATTTCCCGCCGGACGGCTCT